TTGAAAATTCCACGTTTGCACAAAAAAATATGCCGCTAAAATCAGGAAAAGGGGGCGGTCCAGGCACATTTTTTTTAGCTCAACGGCCCCTATTCCAATTATTGTTTAAACGTTTAACGTAAGGTAAAAATGATGAATTTATTAACGGTTTTTGCTCGATTTTAGGGATGAAAAAACTACGAACAAACGATTTATCACACTTAACAAATGAAAATAATGAATTTCTTAAACCTGGGGTGCTAAATGCAGGAGCTGTAAATGTAAGAAATTTGTTTATAAATGTTTGGCTTAGGAGAAAACGTTAAAAATGGACGAACAATGAGGAACAATCGACGAACTATCGATTGCAATAATAACAGAGTGCAACACATACTCTCGGGCATAGGTTTTCGCGATTGTTGCTGAAAGTACTTACCAAAACTAGAGTTTCTGCATCATTCCTTTTGCCAGTTTGGCTGCCGTTCGGACCTTATGACCTCATACATTTGTTGGCTCAAAGTCGAGTTTGAGCACTTTTTCGATATTTTCACACGGCTATATCTCGGTTAACCGTAAGGAATATTGTTTTGATGTATTCAGCAAAGCTGTAGATATTGAATGAGAGAAAAAAATGCAAAACCTACTTATCCGGAAAAAGTGCATCTAGTGCCCCAAAATCGCAAAAAGGCCAATTTTTTTTACCATTTTTCACCATTTCTGCTTAATAACGCGGCCACACATCCACAAATATGTTGCTTTCTTTTATTTTTTACTTTATTTCTAATCAAACTAATGTTTTACAATTCATTGTTTAGATATTAAGACAAAAAAATATGAGTTTATTATTGGTATGTATGTATGGAAAAGAGATAAAAATATGTTAATTTTTGACATTTTTTGAAGTTGATGCCAGTGGTTCTGATAATCTCAATCTCTTTGTGAGTGGTTGTAAATCATCATCATCAAATGAGCTAGATAAAGGATTCAATGGAATATCTTCTTCAGTGTGTCCTTCATATCTAGTGGTATTGTCTGGGTCTTTAGTTCCTTCATCTTCATGTTCATAACCCCTTAATTTACTTGACCACCAACATACTTCTGCGAGCAGTGCATCCAGTTGTTTTCCCTTGAATCTTGTTTCCATTGGTTTGTGATCTGGTGAAATAGTTCACCTTGCTCGTCCGAATCTTGGGGAAATTGTTGCAAAAAGCATCAAGATGACAATGAAGAAAATGTAATTTCAATGTCATTGATGCACCGATTTTTTCGAAGAAATATAATACAGTATCAACTCTTCTCTTTATCTCATCTGCCTGTACTCGATTCTACCCTAAAACGCCCTCAATTACTGCTTTTAATGCGTTCCAGGCTCCCAGATGATAATTTGTTAGTATGTTTGTGAAGGCTTCGCTTTTCATCAATTTTCGTATATCTGGTCCATTAAGTATACCTGTTCATAACGAAAAAAAAACAAATTTTTTTTTTTAATTGATTAGCACTACGAATAGCGCGAAGTGAAGTACTGTAGACATGAATATATTTATTTTACAATGTTTTATACGCTTCCTTCATATTTATGCCGAATCCCACTGGATTGGATGGTTTATTGTTTGTTATGTGCAACAGCACAGCCCTCAAACTTGAAACTGAACCATCTATAAAAATTCGCCAGTCATGTGCGTTATAATCCATTCCCAATTTGTTCACTAATCCTGGAATATCATAGCAGTAAGTAAACGTATTTGCAGCGTCAACGGTATACAATTTTTGAAAATCACCTTGGCGTTTCCGGTATGAAGTGGCGCTAACATTTTGCTCTGTGAGTTTTCTGCGCTTCAAAAATGAGGTCAACATTTCTGAATTCCGTTGCGATAAACCCAACTTTGCCACAATGTAGTCCATTTCGTTTTGTGTTAGTGGTTGTGGTTTGAAAGATCGGGTGTATAATCTGCATCGCACACATCAGTCGGATTAGTGAAAACAGTTGTTGTTGCCTGTGAATCTTTATCTGGACTCGGTGGTTTAGGTGATTCGGTACCTTGAGGGCGTGGTACTGGAAGTGTGGCAGTAAAGGCGGGAATATATACTTTTGTTCTCGACCTTCGTCTGTTCAATCCAACATCAGAATTAATGCATGTGTAACACCAGGTTTCATCATGTCCGGTTGGGTCTTTCACTGGCTTCGAAAAACAAAACTGTACTCCTTTTTTATGTATCCAAACCACAGGAGTATTATAAAAAGTTTTGCACACCGTGTTCGGCGTAAAATCTGCATCACCTAAATCAGGTTCATCGAAATAATGATGATATGCTGCTTTGAAATCCTCACTAAATCTGTTTATTCGTTCTTGTTTTCCTATTTTTGGCACTATATGACCGCAAACGTAACAACAATTATCTATTTTTGGGCACTTGTTATTTTTCATATTGAAATTTTCAATAGTTTTTTTCTTTTAAATTGTTATTTATGCACTCTAAATTGTTAAAAAATGGGCATTTTTGCGATTTTGAGGCACTAGATGCACCTTTTCCGGGTAAATTGGTTTTGCATTTTTTGCTCTCTCGTTCAATATCTACAACTTTGCTGAATACACCAAAACTATATTCCTTACGGTTAACCGAGATATAGCCGTGTGAAAATATGGAAAATGTGCTCAAAATCGACTTTGAGCCAACAAATGTATGAGGTCATAAGGTCCGAACGGCAGCTTAACTGGCAAAAGTAATGACGCAGAAACTCTAGTTTTGGTAAGTACTTTCAGCAACAATCGCCAAAACCTATGCCCGAAACGATGACCTGAAAAATGTTGCACTGTGTAATTAACCCAAAATAATCTGTTTCGGGTGCTAAATACAGGAATTACGTAAAGTGAAAATTGAAAAATTAATTATAAATCTTTGGCTAACGAACAAACGTTAAAAATGGACGAACATTAAAGAACAATCGACGAGCTATCGATTGCAATACAAAAATCTTAATATTTATACTAATGGGGTGCTAACGTCGGTTGGGTCACGCGAAATCAATATTTGGAATTTTTATTCGTACTATCATCAGGACACCTTAAAATGGAAATTTAAGGCAATTCCCATTCGTAGTGTCATTAGGTATGTAACTTGATTGCTGTATCTTTTAGGCGCACCATTATTAAATAGTTACATAGCACGCTAATAAAAGCTAGGTAAAAATAAGCAAAGGAGAAAAGAGTAGGGTGTAAAGCGTGGATGACAAAAAATATAGTTATCTTAAAAAAAACACATAAATCTTCAATCTTTTAACTAGACATCGGAATTCTATGAAATTTTTATATGCAGAAATAAATAAAATAATAAATTTAAAAATAAAATGCAAAAGATATGCAGTCAATACTTATGTTAACAGGCGTTTGTATTAAATCAAAGCAAGTTCCTGCAGAATCATCTTATATACAAATGCAGCCTAAACGCTGTTGTTTATTTATGACATCTATAAACTTTGTAGTATGTTGTGTACTATGTACATCTATATCTATTTATGAATGTACATATGAACATATAAAACTATGTAGCTTAATGTTTGTCACCAATACACTCTATGGTGTCGAGGAAAGTGTTTATAAATACAGTGCAATCCGTTTGTAATGGACTCCACGGGACCGCGTCAAAATGTGCATTATATCAGAATATAATATTTTTAAATAATAAACAAATAATTTGTATCTATAAATACAAAATTGTATACTTTTCATGCAAGGTAAATACCCGTTTTTCCGTTTCGGCATTTTTCGTAAAGTGAACAAAACACAGATCAAAAACCAATGAACACTTAGGCACGGTGCACATTAGAGCGATACGATATGCGATGCGATATGCGATACGATACGCGATACGATATGCATACGACATCGGCATGCTGAGTACGTTCCCACGTAGGAAGCGATGAAAACTGTGCACACTTGCACTACATCGACACCGCTGCGATATAATAGGTTCGTTCGCGTAGCTGTTAATTGTTCATGTTTAACCAAAACTTACAGGTTTTTGCGTTCGCGTACGCAAAAAACTTGCAAAGTAGGGGAAATTGAGAGAGCAAAGTGACATTTCATTTTGAGGGGAAGCTGTTAGTTTCTGTTGGAAAAATTTTTGCCAACAGCAATTTGCCAACAGGGAAACAGCTGATCAAAAACAGCTGGTTGGCATTTACGCAAATCACAAAATTTAATTTGATGGTTTGGAAGATAAAAATTACAAAATGCGACTAATTAAACTTGTAAGAAATAAGTAGTTATTTGTTTAATCAATAAACTGTGTCAGTATAACACTTTGCGATGACTTTTCGTACGTTTTAAATTTTACACTTTTGTATGTAAACAAAAATTATATCAGCTGTTCGTCTAACTTGCAAGTTTCTGCAAATTTTCTGTTCGCGTACTATTTTGGACATTTCTCTCTTGTGAGCGAACAGATGACATTTCGCCGGAATTTGGCAGTTGGTTGGTTTCTGTTGGAGATTTTAAACGAACGCACCTAATATTGCATGCGACACCGCTGCGATATAATATTGCATGCGTATCGCACGTGCGATACGGTTTTCTGAACGAGGGGAGATTAGTATTGCGCGGCATTTTTTGCAATAAGCATGATCGTTTCACAGGCGGAATAATCATCCTCAATTTTTTTTAGTCGAATTAATAAAAAAAAACCATCTTTATGGAACTATACCGAAAAAAACTGTTGTAGAACAGACATGACTAGTTTGGCATGGAGAAATATAGCGTCCGAGATCAAGGACATAGGTAAATGCACAAAAGAATATTTTTCGTGATGGTTTATTTGCCTTTGTTTTCACATTTTTAAAAAGAAAATTTAAAGAATCCAATAATTTTAAACCCATTTATTTTTGATTTTGAATAGCAGAGAAGATATTTTGTTTCAAATATTCAAATAAACAGTAATCAATGTACTTAGAAACAATTAGGAAATAATCATATCATTTACCATTTAAAGAAGAAATCAGATATAATAACAAATACTAAAAAATGATGTATGTATGTAGGTAATTATTTTTGATTATTCGTTATGTTTTTATATGTTTTTTCTCTTGAGTGTTATTTTATTATATTTAATAAGTTTTTAAATTAAATAGAGAAAGTACAAATTTGTGTGCTCTATAACCTATAGCTACAAGAAATAATGAAGTAAAAATACCTGACAGGTCATGTTATTTTTCACGTAGGTTTTGCCGAGTGAAGTAAGAATTGAGATACGAAATTTTTGTCACACCCACACAATCTTGATTTAGGGCCGTTTTCTAATGTAAGCAGTAAAGTTGCCTTGGCTACATTCGTCATAAAACTTCAAAGGTTGGCAATGCAACATAAGCAAATATAAAGCAAGAGCCACTGTTAGCAAAAACCAAAACCTTGGTTGAAATATCTAATATATCTGACTCATAAACCAAAACCAAACCAAAATTTAAAGTTGGGTACAAATTTTTAAAGGTTGCATCGGGTGAGCAACAATTTATCGATTCGAGGAATTAATGCGCTGATGAGAAAACGAAAACTCGTATATCTAGACGATAAAGTGGCCGGTAATCTAAAGGTTAGATGAGAAAACGGCCCTTACTGTTAAAAACTGTTATTCCGCACTTATAAGCTTGTAACTCAGCTGACTATATACTGAGTTTAGACCTTTCGAATGATATATGTATATAAACTTTTAGAAAACTTAAGAGATCTGTATGTATTTTCTGTGTTCATTTTTTCGTCTTTTTCAAATTTGGCAAACTATACTATTCCTGAATTGATGCAAAATTAGAATTTAATATATAATGATTTTTACTTTAAAAAATCGCGGGAAAATTATTCAACCTTTCATAAGAAAAAGAATATTTTTGGCTATACAACTCAAAAGTTTTTGCTTAACCTTTTTTTAATTCAGCTTTCACCGATTTCTCCTTGTAGTGAGCGCAATATTCTGAAATAATTTGTCATGAAAATTTGAATATCTCATTTAATTTTTAGCCGACTTCGTAAAAATAAACATCAGTTTTACTCGATATTAAACATACTTTTCTCTTAAATTTTTTAAATCTCTCAACTCAACTCATTTAACTCATTAACAAGCTTATAAGGGCACAAAAGTTTGTGTAGCTAACACAGAATCGTATCGCGTGTCGTATCGCAAATCGCATCGCATATTGTATCGCACTAATGTGCACCGTGCCTAACAGTCTACCGCAGAAGCTGATTGCTTATTTGGGCAGATTTTGGTGAACCTATGAGCTTTGTTCAGGTATATAGACATTTTCTGTTGCAGAGATGGTTGCCTCACTTTACTGAATTCGAGCAATTGTTTAATGCAGAATTTTTTTTATTTGGCCTTGACGGTCCGTGTTATAACGGACAAACCGATATGACCGAGTCTATTTTAACCAAGTTTCGAACTGTGACTTGACAAATAGGTACATAATAACAGAGTTTCCATCTTAAACGAGTCCATTACAAATGGATTACACTGTATCTAGGTTAGAACATGTAAAGGGTTGCCACCTATTAAACAATTAAATTCATATACTTAAGGGAAATTAATAATTACAATATGGGTATCAATCGACATGGTTTTGAAAAGGTTATACTTGCAAACTACATGCAGGAGGATTTCCACCTGTTTAAAAAATCAAATTCAATTTGAATTAAGGGAAATACGTAATTGAAATATATATCACAACTACGACTATGGCAAAACGATAAAAGAGAAACTGTCTGAGGTTTTAGCAAAATCTCTTTTTTCCGAGCTTCGAAATCTGGCTTGTTTTAATGAATATCATTCGATTTCAATATCAGGCTTGGTTTTAAAAGTTTAATTAAATCAAGATAAGGAACTTCCTATTCCTCTTAAACGAAATCTGTGTTTCTATAAATTATTTTTTACTTTTTAATTCACATTATAATAAAATCGAGTTTCAGTCTTTTTCAAAATATAATTTTATTTTCATCTTTTTAGTCTTGAATTCAATTTATTTAAAACTATTATAACGAATAGAGTACCACGCGAAACCCCAACCGACGTTAGCACCCCATTAGTATAAATATTAAGATTTTTGTATTGTAATTTTTAGTTCGTCGATTGTTCTTCATTATTCGTCCATTTTTAACGTTTGTTCCTACGCCAAACATTTATAATAAATTTTTTACATTTACAGCTCCTGCATTTATCACCCCAGGTATAAGAATTTCATTATTTTCATTTGTGAAGTGTGATAAATCGTTTGTTCGTCGTTAGTTTGTCATTTTTTCATCACTTAAATCGAGCAAAAGCCGTTAATAAATTCATAATTTTTACTTTATGTTAAACACTACGTTAAACGTTTAAACAATAATTGGAATAAGGGCCGTTAAGCTAAACAAAAGTGGGCGTGGACCGCCCCCTTTTCCTGATTTTAATGGCGTATTTTTTTGTGCAAATTATCAGGGGTGGCGCTAAAGGTGGCTACACGTGGAATTTTCAAAACCATGGACACAGTTGGAAAGGTGATTTAGGGACCTTTCATTCGATATATATTTATGTATATGATGTATACATATTTCGAGAAAAAGTACAAAAACCTAAAAACCTGGCAATTTGTTTTTTTTTTTTAAATTGATGTTTCTCGTAAAAAATGCGTAATTAACTATACTAACAAATATGATTATCAGAAAGAGCAGAAAAATATCTTTAATTTTATATATGATTTGTAACAAAAAATTCTTGTGCACATTATATTTGTTTAAATATATTAAAATATCATTTTATATGAAAAAGAAAAAGCGCCGCAGGCGAAAATTTGGAATAAAAAATCACGCGATGTTTTATTCCAAATTTTAGTTAGGTATATATTAAAATATGCTTTTATATAAAATAAAGGAAAAAAGCGCCAAAGGTATACATTGTAAAGTATGCTTTTATATAAAAAAAAAGAAAAAAGCGCCGCAGCACAGTGTCGCCTAAGTGGGCAAAAATAAAAAAATCGTTGTCTGCAATGTGAACGCATTTGGTATTTTTGTAAAGTTAAGTTATCCACTAAAACGAATTAAATAGAAATTTCTGCATAAAATGAATTATATGCCGCCAGAAAGCCACTAAATTCGACAAATTTTATACGAAGAATATTAATAAGAGCATAGCCATGCGTAATACCTTGGTTATAATGCACGGGGCGAATCGTAACAAATCGCGGCGAATTCGTAAGGATCTATTGATTTTAGATGGTTCCGGTTTACTTTGCGTTCAAGTGCATTATAATCGTTTGAATTCATTGCCCATACAATAGATAATTAAGTGACAGTTCACTCCGTTTCGTTACTTCCATTATAATCCAGGCATAAGCTCTTCACGTAAACAAATGTCAAAACTACATTCTTTAAAATATAATGTTGGTTTGACGTTTTTTATTTCCACATAGATAGTAAAGAGCTACAGGATTAAACATTTTGGAATAAAATTAAACACAGGGTGTCCCTGCGGTATTCCAGAAAAACAATTTTTTCATTTCATTTCATTTATGTTAAATATGTTATTTTTTATTATTTTATTAAATACTAGCAATTACCCGGCGTGCTTCGCTGCGCCTTAAATGTATTTTTGTGTTGTAACTCTCCCCCTAAGCTCTTATGGCCTCATTTACAAAATATTTTTAAAGAACTTTATGAAGTTAGATTTAAAAAAATCGATCTATGAAGCATTGTTTATTTTTTTTTTGAGTTAATATATTTTCGAAGGTAATTAGAAAATATGTAAAGAACCGACTTTCTCTTGGAAATTTAATTTATAATCTTATAACTGGAGTCTACTATCGCACCCTTTCCTCAAACGTGTATTGATTCAATATTCAAATAACGTATATTTATATAATTTGAAAAAATCTCCCTACTATACAAATATGTACAGCAATATTAAATAATATTTTCAAATGTTGTGAGAGGGAGTAACAAAACAAAATTACTTTTAAGGCGCAGCGAAGCACGCCGGGTATTCGCTAGTGTCACATGAAATTAACTGAGCAAAGTACAATGAATAGCTGTTAAACAATGGCACCATCTACTTTAAATGAAACATACTTATTTTCGTGGGGGATACTCACACACCATATACTTTTCTATTGAAATTTTTCCTGAATTTTCCTAGCTATAAACCTCCAACGAATGCAAAACCGTGAAAATCGGTTCGTGCAGTTCTGGAGTTATAGCGTCAGGAAGGAAAACCCTACTTATTTTTATATTAATTTTTATATTAAAGAAGATTAAAGAACTGTCCGCATTACTCAATTTTATTTTTCACTAAAACGGTATTCATGAATTTTTTAATTTTTTTTTATTTGCTTCCGCATACTTTTGACATAACAGCTTTCATTTTATGCCGATATTAAACAAATACAGCCTAAGTTTACCCGGGTCCACGTTTTGGTCTGTATCTCGATGACCCAAGTCACCCAGCTATATGAAAAGTGCTCAATCTTAAAGCATTCATGAACCCAGCTTTCATTTGATACCCATATTAAACAAATACACCCAAGGTTACCCAGGTCCACGTTTTGGTCTATATCTCGAGACCCTAGTCACCCAGCTATATGAAAATTGCTCTATCTTAAAGTCTCATGAACAGCTTTAATTTGATACCCATATTAAACAAATACATCCTAAGGTTACCCGGGTCCACGTTTTGGTCTGTATCTCGAGACCCTAGTCACCCAGCTATATGAAAAGTGCTCAATCTTAAAGCATTCATGAACAGCTTTCATTTGATACCCATACTGAAAAAAT